GGAGCTGCAACAGAGAAGGCTCACCCCCGGGGAGTCCCCAGCCGGCATTGGCTGGCAGATGGAATCCAGAGGAGACCTAACCTGTGCGATCTAGTCGGTCTCTGTTCACTTTCCCCCCTCTCTACCTGGATATAAGATATTATTTATTTTCTGAAACACCTATATTATATGTGTACTATCACTTGTCTTAAATTTTCTTTGATATGTATTGACATTATGATTTGCCCTTAGGTGTCAAATAACAAATAAAACCTGTCCAAAAAGTCATATTTGGAATAATCACTTATGCAGATGCCTGGCACAACATGACTTCAGTTTCTCCTCCTATCCACCAGATACTGGTAAGAAATATGTGATAAAAGATTACTGTCAGTTATTTAGTTTAATTTATAGAACAGAAAAAGAAATGCCCACAATATATTTTTATAATTTTATAGTTCATTTTTATGGAACAGTGTGTTCATATTTATTCACTTCATATTGTGTAGTTATAAGTGCAATAATAAAGAAATGAATCGGAGAAATGAATAATTTCCACTAGCTACAAAAATTAACAGATATGTGTTCTACTCTTTTGCAATGCCTGAAGCATATTTTTCTTATTTCAAATGCTTAGATACTGCTGAAGGATACCATGATATCTGCGGGTCTAACAAGGAACTTGATGAAGAAACCTGTCAGTGTGTCTGTAAAGGAGGAGTGACACCTTCTAGCTGTGGAATTCACAAAGAACTAGACAGAACATCATGTCAGTGTGCATGTAAAAATAAACTGCTTCCTAGCTCTTGTGGACTCAACAAAGAGTTTGATGAAGAAAAGTGCCAATGTGTGTGTAAAAGAATATGCCCTAAACACCAGCCATTAAATCCTACAAAATGTATTTGTGAATGTGTAGAATCACCAAACAAATGCTTCTTGAAAGGAGAAAGATTTCATCACCAAACATGCAGGTAAGCAATATAACAGAAAAAACAGCAGATTTTCATAGCTTTTGATACATCATTCTTCTTGAGTTTATAAATGACAGTGGTTATAGTTTCTTGCATTTTCTTGTATTTTCTAATCTTGCTCCTTTTCAAATATCTGATAGAGAACTGATGCTTGAGAACCAATTTGGTGTACTGGTTAAAGCATCAGGCTTGAATCTGGAAGACTATGAGATTCACACTGGGCACAAAACAGTTGGGTGATGTTGGGCCAGACACATTCAGCCCTAGGGAGCAAGCAGTGGCAAACCACTTTTGAAAAACCTTGCCAAGAAGACTTTAGGGATTATTCCAGGCAGTTGCCAGGAGTTGGACTGATTCAAAGAGACCAAATATATACAAATAGTGACATGATTTGTCTGCTTTTCACTATGTATATGCATGTATGTGTGAACTCTGTGCATGTACTGTATGTATATCCCAAAGGTGCTTTTTTCAAGAGGCAACTGGACTTTCTGGTTTTTCTTTGAAGATGTTTCACTTCTCATCCAAGAAGCCTCTTTAGCTCTGATTGGATGGTGGAGAATGGAGTCTTCCATTCTTGCAAGGAGTCTTCAAAGAAAAACCAGAAAGTCCAGTTGCCTCTTGAAAAGAGCATCTTGTGAAAACCATGACCTGTATGACTGAGACTCTCCATAGACATATCTATATGTATGTGTGTGTATGTGTGTATGTATATATATGTATATACCCTGTTTTTCCAAAAATAAGACCTCCCCGGATACACAATGTTTTTTACTGTTGCCTTTTTGTTACAAATGTTATATTTGTGCTGATAAATAAATAAAGGGAGACTAAAAAAAAAAAATTGGGTTTCTGTCTGGATGGTCTCTTGTGACGAGCCGAAGGACAGAGAATGGAAGTGTGATCTTCCTCCCATAT